TCTATATTGTTGAAGGAGTGGTCACCACACTACAACTCTATATTGCTGAAGGAGTGGTCACCACACTACAACTCTATATTGTTGAAGGAGTGGTCACCACACTACAACTCTATATTGTTGAAGGAGTGGTCACCACACTACAACTCTATATTGTTGAAGGAGTGGTCACCACACTACAACTCTATATTGCTGAAGGAGTGGTCACCACACTACAACTCTATATTGCTGAAGGAGTGGTCACCACACTACAACTCTATATTGTTGAAGGAGTGGTCACCACACTACAACTCTATATTGCTGAAAGAGTGGCAACCACACTACAACTCTATATTGCTGAAGGAGTGGTCACCACACTACAACTCTATATTGTTGAAGGAGTGGTCAACCACACTACAACTCTATATTGCTGAAGGAGTGGTCACCACACTACAACTCTATATTGTTGAAGGAGTGGTCACCACACTACAACTCTATATTGTTGAAGGAGTGGTCACCACACTACAACTCTATATTGCTGAAGGAGTGGTCACCACACTACAACTCTATATTGCTGAAGGAGTGGTCACCACACTACAACTCTATATTGCTGAAGGAGTGGTCACCACACTACAACTCTATATTGCTGAAGGAGTGGTCACCACACTACAACTCTATATTGCTGAAGGAGTGGTCAACCACACTACAACTCTATATTGCTTGAAGGAGTGGTCACCACACTACAACTCTATATTGTTGAAGGAGTGGCAACCACACTACAACTCTATATTGCTGAAGGAGTGGCAACCACACTACAACTCTATATTGCTGAAGGCGTGGCAACCACACTACAACTCTATATTGCTGAAGGAGTGACAACCACACTACAACTCTATATTGCTGAAGGAGTGGCCACCACACTACCACTCTATATTGCTGAAGGAGTGGCAACCACACTACCACTCTATATTGCTGAAGGAGTGGTCACCACACTACAACTCTATATTGCTGAAGGAGTGGTCACCACACTACAACTCTATATTGCTGAAGGAGTGGTCACCACACTACCACTCTATATTGTTGAAGGAGTGGTCACCACACTACAACTCTATATTGTTGAAGGAGTGGTCAACCACACTACAACTCTATATTGTTGAAGGAGTGGCACCACACTACAACTCTATATTGTTGAAGGAGTGGCAACCACACTACAACTCTATATTGCTGAAGGAGTGGCAACCACACTACAACTCTATATTGCTGAAGGAGTGGTCACCACACTACAACTCTATATTGCTGAAGGAGTGACAACCACACTACAACTCTATATTGCTGAAGGAGTGGCTCACCACACTACAACTCTATATTGCTGAAGGAGTGGTCACCACACTACACTCTATATTGCTGAAGGAGTGGTCAACCACACTACAACTCTATATTGCTGAAGGAGTGGTCAACCACACTACAACTCTATATTGCTGAAGGAGTGACAACCACACTACAACTCTATATTGCTGAAGGAGTGGTCACCACACTACAACTCTATATTGTTGAAGGAGTGGTCACCACACTACAACTCTATATTGTTGAAGGAGTGGTCACCACACTACAACTCTATATTGCTGAAGGAGTGGTCACCACACTACAACTCTATATTGTTGAAGGAGTGGTCACCACACTACAACTCTATATTGTTGAAGGGAGGTCACCACACTACAACTCTATATTGCTGAAGGAGTGACAACCACACTACAACTCTATATTGCTGAAGGAGTGGTCACCACACTACAACTCTATATTGTTGAAGGAGTGGTCACCACACTACAACTCTATATTGCTGAAGGAGTGGCAACCACACTACAACTCTATATTGCTGAAGGAGTGGCAACCACACTACAACTCTATATTGTTGAAGGAGTGGCAACCACACTACAACTCTATATTGCTGAAGGAGTGTGGCACCACACTACAACTCTATATTGCTTGAAGGAGTGGCACCACACTACAACTCTATATTGCTGAAGGAGTGACAACCACACTACACTCTATATTGCTGAAGGAGTGTCACCACACTACAACTCTATATTGTGAAGGAGTGGCACCACACTACAACTCTATATTGTTGAAGGAGTGGCACCACACTACAACTCTATATTGCTGAAGGAGTGACACCACACTACAACTCTATATTGCTGAAGGAGTGGCACCACACTACAACTCTATATTGCTGAAGGAGTGGCAACCACACTACCAACTCTATATTGCTGAAGGAGTGGCAACCACACTACACTCTATATTGCTGAAGGAGTGGCAACCACACTACAACTCTATATTGTGAAGGAGTGACAACCACACTACAACTCTATATTGCTGAAGGAGTGGCAACCACACTACAACTCTATATTGCTGAAGGAGTGACAACCACACTACAACTCTATATTGCTGAAGGAGTGGCAACCACACTACAACTCTATATTGCTGAAGGAGTGGCAACCACACTACAACTCTATATTGCTGAAGGAGT